GAAAGGAAGGCAGAACTGAAGAAATTCCATTCTTTCACACACAAACACACAAAATATAAAATACAACATCTAAACTGAAATGGAACTTGAAAAGGAACGAGATATCTCTAGACAAATTTTAGGAGCCTGTTTCCTAAACTGAGGGTTCATGTGTAAAGGGTTGCATTCAGAAAAAAGCTTCTGCACAAGTCACCTCTTTACCAGCTAAGACTAGTCCAAGTTTCAATACAAGCAGTACCTACACAGATGAGAATGTTGCTACACGCTATCTAAAATTACAGTTCATTTTTCTCTTCTGTAGCCCTATTTCCACATCCTTAACCTTTTACTTTGCTGGAATATGCCTGAAATGTTTTCAGCCTGAGGCTTGTCTGGCATTAGGAGCAAGACCAGGTAAAGCTGATAGATTCAGGGCACATATTGGAAGCATTGAATTCAAATAGACTAATGCATTGCCTTCTGTCAAGCTACAAGGCTGGAAACAAGTTCTGGGATCTCCAGATGTTAGACTCTAGAAGAGAATCCCATCTGGTATGCACTAACATCACTCAAAAATAAAAAGCAATTCCAACAGGCCAGAGAAAGAGCTGACCACTGAGAAACCTAGTCAGTTATAATGTCTTAGAAGCCTTCTGAATACTAGCTACTGTTTCACATACTTGTGTCTCCTTCTCTCACTCGAGCTACTTTATTCTGAACAGCTTCTTAGTACAGCCTTCTCAAAGGCAGGTGGATGTCATTGCTAGCTAAAATAAATGCCAGGCTGCCGCAGGGAAAGGAGAATAACCACAACAATAATTCAAATCCCCACAGAAAGATGACTGAGTTAGGGGATTTTTTTTTTTAAATTATATTTGGAAGGGCAGTGTTGAACTTCAGTTCTAGTGACCCAGCATTTGGATCACTAACCCACCCGTCAATCCTTAGACACTGCAGCTATCAAATCAGCGTATTTGCAATTCTAAAGCAGGGAATGCTCAGATTTGTCAAAGAACTAGCTTTCTACTATAATGTCCACCTGCCACTGGAAGCTTCCATATGAACAATTTGGTATTTTATAGGTTTTACCTGAGGGATTTGTTAGGGTGCTAGCACAAGCCTGGTAGTGAACAGCCAAGAGCAAACTCCAGAATCAATACATATAACAACCTTGGCTCCCAAAAGTTCACAGTTAATATACAGTAAAAGGAGCAGAGCTGTACAGTGCTGCAGCTGGACACTGCCAGGAGCAGCCCGATATGCCCATGCTCATGGACCACATACCAGCTCTGAGTTGGTTTAGGCAGATGGGGAGGAATGTTGTCACGGAGGTGCTGTGCTTCATTTTGATCTCTCTCAGCAGACTTCTGGAGCTCCTGAAATTAACGTTAGACTTCATCAGAAATCTGAAACTATTAATGTCAAGCAAATCAAATTAGTTTACCATTACGGCAATGCTAAAATAATTTTTAACTTCATTAAGAGTTCTTTGCTCTCTCCCCATCATCTTACCTCTTTACCCCCTAATTTCCCAAGAGCAACTAGTAAAGCTCAGAAAAACAAAGCTAAGAGTGTGAAAACATAAGCAGGTTTCTCCTTGCCCTCAAAGTGTCAGAGAAATCTGAATGGGCAAGAAGTAAATCTTTTACAATATAGCCTAGCAGGTCTGGGCAGGGGAATGGCCGTGGTGACGAAGAGATACTACAGGAAACTCATCTACATTCCCCAAACAACACTTTCACAAAAAATTTAACACATGAAGGCACTGCAAACACACACTGGAACAAGAAATAAATATTCTAATTAAATAGTTTTCATAGCTATTGCAAGGATGTAAAAAGAGAACTGTTCTTTAGATCACAGTATCTATTATGATAAAGACATGCTTTCAATGTATAAACCTTGAAAAATAGAATTTTTAATATTCACTACGCTGGAGAGCTTCTTAATAAACCATCAGTAAGCCTGTTCCAAGCCCCAGTTTTCTTATAAGCACATGTGTCCAAACATATCACTGAGGATCTAGAAAAGAACAACTACCCACTTATCAAAGATTCCTTTGAATCTTTCAGTATTTTATGAACAGGAAAAAAAGATTACTTTTAGCAAATCCTTCAGTTTTTCTTGCTGTTGAACTTCAGTTTCCATTTTATTCAGGAGATCATGCAAGAGAACCATCTCATGTCCTATTTTACAGAGCATAGATTTGAGGGATGGTTCTTGACCTGTCAAAGAGAGAAGGTTAAGCCAAAAAACCTCCAACACAAAACCCATATGCATTTCCCTTCCCTCCACAAGCAGTGATTATCTGCTAACTCTATGCTCCCAAACTACCATATCTTCCCAGGAGAAGCAGCAATATTTGCTGGTCAAACAGTCAACCTCCTACTCCATACAGCCAACAGAGTTCAAAGCTGCTGCAGGAATAAAGGCCCCTCTCCAACACAACGCTGAAAAGCACTAAGCTGTACCCACTACCACTGCAGATCGCAGGTGGAGGACACAGGGCTTAAATGCAGCCTGGCTTTCACAACTGCTTGGCTGCAGCACCCTGTTCTACTTTGTGATCTCCCCCTGTTTAGGGTTATAGTTCCTCTTCCAACAGGAGGTTAGCCTAGATGACCAGATGACCGTCCCAACCAACATTTCTATAATCCTCTGCAACCTCTATTTGTGCCTAGGAAAGGATAAGAGATGAATCTAAAACATTCAGATCAATTTCAGTACATCAGTTTAAATAAGTTTGTTACCCACTGCATCACAGCAAGGCACTCCTGGAATGCTAGGACAAGACACCTGTATAAATCTCCACCTATGCCTTTACACATTTTTGTAATTAGGCTTAACATACTTGCTTAACGTACTCACCAAGATATTTTTTTAGTTCTCCTATCTGGAGCTTTCCCCACCAAGTATATAGAATAAAAGGTACACGAACCACCAGTCTTCATGTCCCTCAGAGGAACATACTTTCACTTAGCCTGTGTTCTCTGCTTGGCACTTATTTCCTTGATAACGCTCCCATTTTGCCATCCTTGCTCACTTTGTTGTTGTTGTCTATATTTTACTTGATTCCCACTTCACGTTACATTCCTTGTCTAATGAAAGCATTCCCATTTTCTGCAAGGAGGTGCAAACCAAAACCCACTCTTAATTTCTTTTACCTATGTTTCTTAATTGAAGAGTCTTTTTAATAGTCGAAATCTTCATGTTGATGTGAAAGCATAAATCTTCCAGGTCTGAGGACGCCATATCCTCTATTATCACACTGAAGGGAAATAAAAAAGAATGCAGTAATTTAAGAAAGACCTAAGTTGCAAACACTAGGCACACAAGCAGAATTTTAAAAAGGGCCCTGATCTGTCAAAGAAGCAAAGGGAACTTAAATGAAGCAGTAAATGTAGTAACTACATTCTATTTTACTAAACTGAAAGCAGGAGAGGCAGCACAAAGTGACTGGCATCAGACAAGACAAAGCAATTTCCCTGAACTCTGGATTTAAATGCACTGTAATATCAATACAATGATTCCTCATGAAACTGGGTAAGTCTTTATTATACTAGGATGTCCGCTACTAAAGGAGTTGGAAACTTACTGCAATAAGCAAGAAATATCTGGTTTATATAAAGTAGTACTATAAGGCTCTATCAGGGAAGTTGCATCAGATGATCAATATTTAAAGTGGTATTTTGTTTTGGATTTCTTTTTTTAAAAAGACCAGTCAGTAATTAAACAAAAGGAAGCATGCACTTGCTTGCTAGCAGAGTACGGAGGCACAAAAAGTAGCATCATGTATCGGTTGCTCTTGTGCAAACATAGTTATTAACTCTATTACAGAAAATAATTGATAAAAAACTGTTGCTGAAATGCATGTTCCCCAATCGCCGTGTAACAAATCTCCATTTAATACTACTGTCTGGCAGCCCTTGTCTTCACAGCGCTCACACGGCTCCCTCTGGTGGCTAACTCAGCCCTGAAAGCTCAGCTTTTATTTTGCTTTAGTTTTAAAATACTACGAACTAGCACTCTTGCTGAACTAGTTATTAGAGATTTGCCGATTTCCACACCCTCCGTACCTCAGGAGAAACCCTTACGACCCGCCGCACCCCCCGCCCTCCGTTTTGCCTCACGTCCTGACCCAACGCGAATACTTACCCCGCCCGGCGCCCCGCTCTCACCGCTGCCGGTGACCGGAGACCAGCTGACTCGGGACGGTGAGGAGGAAAGCGGCTCCCTGCTGCGGTGACCGGAGACTAGCCAGCTCGGGGCGGTGAGGAAAGCGGTTCCCCGCCGCAGAGCCCCCGGCCGGTCCCGCCGTCCCTCAGCAGAGGCGCCGCTTCAAACCCGCCGCGCTCGGCCCGGCCGTTGGAGAGCGCAGGCGCCTGCACTGCGCATGCGCCCGGCGGGAAGGAAGGGCGGGCGGTGCTGAGGGGAGAGGTCTCCCGCTCCGGTTCCACCCCAGAAACTGGGATTGCACCACCACAAAAAACCCAACAAACAAACCCCACAGCATTTGTTAAGTGGTTATATAAATTCAGTTTATTTCGGCATTCAAGAGAAGACAAAGCCCTCAAAAAAAAAAAATTAAGCCACTTTTCAACATATACATGTACTGGTATGTCTCCTATAGAACATCATCATCACCCACTGCTTCTTTTCTCGGGGGG